GAAGTTTTATCTTGCCCACTTGGAGAGATCCTGTCCAGTGGGCTGAAAAATAATTTCGCTTAATCTAGTTCTAGTTAATACTAACTCTAATCGAATAGTCAAATTATGATCTGTATAATTACTAAAATTAATCTAATGAGCAACTAAGAAGTAGTTGTATGTCGATTAAAAATAAGCATCAAGACTTCGAATCCACCTTTAATAATCCATTTGTACACAACTCAAAATCATAACAATACTAGTTTAATCTCAACAAAGTTTGCAAAGAAAAAGAATTATACGATTTTTTAATTTTATTTTGACATATTAGTCCAGCTATAACCTGCTTATTGAGTTGTAAAATGTTATCCACGTATTAGATACACAATAAAACGAGATGCATTCTTACATATCTCAGCCATGACGAGAGCATCCTGTGACAAATCAAACTTCCATAAAATCTTTTTGGTACACACGCAGCCATGTTGAACCTTTTTCCAAGGTTGAACCTTTGTCTTGTACTAAAATTCAGTTGTGTGGTTCTTAATTAGTGGCGTGGCAAGTAGTAGAAGAAATTAACTTAACCTGCCAGTTTTTTTCCATTTTTCTGGTTTACCTGTCTGGCAATTGTATCTGTGACATGGGAGCCGGAAAAATTGAAGGCATACCTTGGAATTTTCTTCATTAAACATTCTATTTCAAGGTTGTCGTGCATATATGTGCCAAGTGTTAGGATTCTGAATATTAATCTTAAACTGATCAAACTCAAAACATTAATACACATTTTATTTTATTTTATCAGAAGAATTTAATTTATGTCATGCTCACTGAGACGTCAATCAAGTTAGAGGCTGCATTATCTTATTAGTTGACCGACCACGGAAAATGAATACGCCTTTTGATTACTTTTAGACTATTTTAGTCGCTTTTGTGTTTTGTCAATGGCCGTCATATAATAGATATAAGGGTGCGTTTGATTGCAATGGTGGAAAATGGGTGGAAAAAAATGTTTTACAGGGAATTGAATTGCTTAGAATTTGTTTTACTGGGAATTGTAATTAATTGTGTTTGATTGGTATAATTTTCCACTTTTTCCGTTTAGCTTTGTTTTTCATGAAAATTGTCAATTAAAAAAATAAATTTTATTAGAATTGAGAATAGAGTTTGTTTGGATTGCCAAAAAGTAAAAAAAAAATAAAAAATAAAAAAAAATTTGAAATTTTTTTTGTGTTCGTTTGGCTTTATTTCACATGCAAATTGTTAATTAAATGAATATTTTTTTTACCATTNAACAAATTGTTGGCAAAAGTTTGGCTATCAAACTGCCACAAAGTTGGAAAATGGAATTTATTTTCCAACTTCCCTAGAAAACTATGCACATCAAACATAGCCTAAGCGTCCTTTTGATTAGTTTTTGCTTTGTTGGCTTCAATCAAATTCAGGTGGAAAACGTAATAAGATTAAATTCCAAACTAGTTTGCAATCAAAGTCTCTATTGAAATGAATATCACTCTATCGATTTTTTAATTTCTTTTGATTCGAACGGTTACCAAAGAATTAAGCATTAAATACTCGTTTATTAAAACCGGAACCCAAACTCACAATTTTTATTAATTTTTAGTAGTCCAAATCAAAAAGAATACAACTGTTTTTGTGACGGGAATTGCTACTTGTACAGAAGCAGAAGCCACATAATTTCACCATAACACCCACATGGGTCCCACGATTTTTTTTAATACACGGTGGGGTCCACTCATTATGAGCTTTCCAGTGAAATTATGTGGGAATATTTCTGTACATGGGGGAAAATGCTTTTGTGACTACTTATAAGATAACATAATCAACCATCATAATTGAAACCGCATTTCTAGCCCTTAAACTCTCAATAAAATATAAACTAGACCCTAACATGTAATTAAACAAACAAAAATAATAATTATGGGGAAAGAGGGCCGCTATCACTTCATGGGATTTCGGAATTAAGTAAGGCAATTTCAACACCTGCCCCCAACAATGACGGCCCTTGTCACGCTCATGACTATATTTGATACATAATATTCAATACGTTAAATCGGATTAGAGAAAAATTAAAATTAAACAAAGTTATAAGTCGATTCAACTTAAACTTATTAAAAATATCGTAAGGGTCGGCAAGTCTATGATTAGCTGTGTGTAAATAATTAATTTAAGTCATATTTTTTGGATTGTATTGGGGTTCTCTTTCCAATGGTCAACCCCATTTGATTTGTTGGGTCCAAGCTCCACGGGTATTTCACGTGAAGTTCATTCTCTAAAGACTTTGTTTCTGTGTAGGCTTTTAAATGCGGATTTTGGAATCGTGTGTGTGTGGGGGGTAGGGGTGTTATCAGGATTGGCTTCTTGGTCCAGATTCTCGTCTTTATATGCATAAGATATGTACGTGCTGTTACTATTTGCAAGTGCTTTGATAATTTTAAACAAGGATAAGTATGAAGACAAGTGAAAAGGACTTGATAGACAGCGAACGAACAGTCGTGTTTGAATATTCATACGAGATGACTTGGAATTATTATACTGCTATCAGTTGAGTACAGCCTTTCTCCTTTTGCTTGAAAATTGGCGGAAATTTTGGAATTTGGGACGCAATTATGCAACTCCAAAGATTGTAGAAAAAGAGATCGATCCACTTTCTAAGTTCAGCATACTGATCATGCATCTGTGCACCTATTTTCAAGCTTAACATCCATTTTTCAGCAGGCTTTGCAAAGGTTCAGCGACATAGCATTTATGGGTACGAAATGTACCTATAAAAAATGTATTTTTGATAAAGTTATTAAAGGAAAAAAAACCTACCAAACATCTTCTCATAATAAAGTTAGTTAGGATATTTGATGGTTCTACTGTGGTCGGTGATTTGAGAAGAAGCATCTTTTGCAAAGCTATGGCTATCATTGAACCGCCGGGAAATTAATTAGCATCAGACAAATATGGTGTAGGGAAGTATGTCCCTTTCGTAATAAGTAAGGTGACATTATTAATGTGCTGAATTAATTGTGTGGTGTCCACTAACTTTGTGTACGAAGACTGGACAATAGAATTCTTCCATTTAAGAAAAGTATAGGAAAATTATGGGCGTGCCGTCATGAAGTCATATCTCAATCTCGTCATTATATATTTATATATGAAATAGTTATGAAACAAATTTTCGTGCCCTGACGGCGCAAGATTTTTCTGCAACTTTGATAAATAAATGTTACTTGTGAATTGAAGTTGGGATTTTCTTCCCCCATTGTACTTCTGACGTGAGAATTAGTAAGGGTTTTAAGAACATATACTTACGAAGAAAAGATAGAATGTGTATTCAGATAACAAAAATTTACTCGTACCTGTCTCATCTTAGGAGTATTTAGAGGTGTCTGAAACCATGTGATTGCTAGGCGGTTATTGTGCCACGTGTCACACGTAGCACCTCTCACTATCCTCGTGTTTTGAGTGGAGTATCTCCACCTATCCAGCTGTTGGTTATGTTCATGATAATCGTTGAAACGTTCCCATCCAACTCATGTTTGTTTTTATGGTTAAGAATTGTATTGGTCTCGTAGTGGTAGAAGGCTTCATAATGAGACAACCTAGTATGAACATTGAGGGTGAGTAGACGACCTAGTAAGAACGTAGAGGACCTCAAAAATGGTCGGCAACGTCATAATAGTAGACGACCTAATATGAACGTAGAGGACTTCATAGTGATAGACAACCTCATAATGATAGATGACCTAGTATGAACATAGAGTGCATCATAGTGATAGAAGGCCTAATACGAATGTAAAGGGCCTCATAGTTGTGACAATCTAAAAGAACGTAGAGGGTTTCATAGTAATCGACCGTTCCATAATGGTTCACGACCTAATATGAACATAGAGAACTTCATAGTGGTCGATGGCCTTATAATGATAGACAATCTAGTATAAATGTAGAGGACTTCATAGTGATAGATGACCTCATAATAATAGACAGCCTATCGTGAATGTAAATGGCCTCATAGTAGTAGACAGTCTAATATGAACATAGATGCCTCATAGTGGTAGACAGTCTGGTATGAACGTAGAAGACTTCATACAGATCGACGGCCTAGCATGTGATGCTCTACGTAGAGTGCCATTGAGTAGTCTTCTCATTATTGACCATCACAAATAATTATTGATGTCATCTAATATCAATATATATTAAAACGATTAGATGGCGGCTCAGTAACGCGAAGGACGAATGTCTTGGAAGTCGATGCTCTGCTTTTATTTCCTGAGAAGAAGAGTAACATCTCAACTTTATAACTACACACCCCTTTGATCCATATCTTTACAAAAATACATTTTTTAAAAATTTATTTTCAAACAAATATTTTTCAATAAAATAATATTATACTCGAATTTAAAAATTTTCTTTATTTTTTAACCATATATTTTTTATCAAATCACTATTTAAAATACATTCTTGACGCAATAATGTGCAAACTGGGTCACAGCTTACTCTGAAGAAAATTGCATTATTTTTTAACGTAAACATGCATGCAGCCAAAAACTAGTGTTGCATGCAGATTAATCTGTGCTGTAAATGCATTTATTACGGTAATCAGAGTTCAGAACAGTCTCAGAAATAAAGGGCAAAAATTGAAACAGAAACCAGCTGAGCTCAAATTATAGCTACACGCCAAGAACTTCAAGCTGGTTTCTTTTTAAAAAACCCACAAAATATGTTTTTCTTTAAAAAGTTGAAATTGAAAATTGAGGAGTCTGGGGACATTTGTCTACCATATCCATCTGGCATATTACTCGAACCTTGCTACACCTATAGAAAAGAAGGGGTAGGGTTGGTTCGCATATACTCACAGGAGGAGTTGAGTTTTTTTTTTCAATTTTTAATTTAGTGGGTCCCACGCATTTGTGAGTATTGGTAAAAAATACAGAAGAAACAGTTATGTACAAGCAGAAAACCCTTACTCCTACTAAAAAAAATACAGTACCTATATACATGCACACACATTATTTAATTTGTACTACATACTTGATTTTCTAATTCACTTGAGCTTATGAATGTCCCATGAAAACCATATGGCACTCTTGATGGTAGCTTAATACTAGCTTCCAATTTCAAACTCCTAGCATTTATTATCTCAAGTTCAGATTTCCATGCCTTCTCATCATGGACAAATGCAAGAATATACCCAGCATCTTCTTCTCCATCAAAATTTGAATCATTCGGCACTAAAAATGGTTCGCCACCATATTTTTCGTCTCCATACATAAATTTCTGAACTTGGCCGGATGAGAGGTCGATTTTAGCAAAGCCTGAAACTTTAGGCCATGGCTCAGCAATTGCAAGATAGGCGTACCTTGTTTTTCGACCAAGCCTGTTCCTGTTCACCATTCCGGCTTCTAAATTGATTTGTTCTGATGCATGAATAATGGGCAGCCTTTTTGATTCACCAGTCTTCAGATTGAGCCTAATTTCTGATAAAACAATCTTTAGTTTTTCATCATATTCGTTGAAAATCGAGTCCGGTGGAGTCATGCATGAGCCGATCACCACGACTTCATTAGTTTCCGGCTCCTCCCAAGCATTCCACAAGTGAAAGCAAAAGGTATCCAGGCAATCAACCCATATAATGTTTTTCGCATTTTCAGCTGTCTTTGATAAAATCCCAAACCTAGATTTCTTGGTCCTTTCATAGATCACTGGAGAGCCACCTTTAATCATTTCTTGAAGCTTGAACACGACTTGCTGGTCGGGAATCACCACGTAATTCTCGGTGATCGCGAAATCGTGAATCATGGTCGGCGCGTCCAACGGTATCTCAACGTCCGGTGACTTTTTTCCATCGGCGGAGAATTTGAAGTACCTCAGGTATGGTTTTTGAACAACATCGTAGCTTAAAGCAAAGAGCTCACGAGAAAAAGGATCGATCTTTGGGTGAGCAATCATTGTCGTCATCAATTGCTCATCAAAATCATAGCGGCTTATTGTTTCAAGATCGCCAGAGGGCTTGATCCTCACTTGATAGGGAAGATCATCTTCAGACATGGCCAATAGTCTGTTATTGAAGTAGACCAGTCCCGCATTGGCTACTCCGGACCCATGGCTGTGATCAAGAAGCCCAAATAAGCCACGTGCATAGAAAAGAAGGAGCCTGGCTATACCAGAGTGCCCGTGGAGCTCTCCAATGGCTTTTGGGAACACGGGGTGGCCTAATTTACGTTCTTGAACGAGCCTTTGAGTCTCGGTGAAGCGGCAAGCATAGCTCGCGAATTTGCCACTATTGATCGTCACTGCATGGATCATCCCATCGCCGTCAAAGAGGTGGTGGCCGGCGACAGGTTCGAATAAAGGGTTGGCACCATTTCGCACGTAAACACCGTTAATGCAGTCTGGAATCGTGCCTGTCACCGGAAGGTTGTGCCTGACGGCGGTCTCCGGTACCGGAGCGAAATTTCCTGTTATTTGGACACGAGGGTCAGCAGCCTTAGGGAGTGATATCTGCCACTCGCGAGAGACCAACGCACTTTCCATCGCGTCGAACGCCTTGGCTGCGGCTTTCTGTAGAATGTTCCACTTCGGTAGTGGCGGCGGCAGAGCCGTGGGCGGAGAAGTCTTCGCTGGTGAGTCCTTTTCGTTAATTGTTTGTATTTCAAAGGGACCTTTTGGGAAAGTAAGAAAAGAGGGTGAGTGTAGAGCAGAGTGAATTTTGTCTCTTGTTCTGGGCTTCCTGATGGAGATGGACTGGGTATGCGCCATAGAAGAAGCCATGTGTCTTTGTTCTTAGACTAATTTCAATGCTGAAATTCAGAAAGATTCTTTTTCTGTTTTTGTCAACAGAAAAAATTGAAGAGAGAGAAACGAAAATGGAAGTAGATTTTGGGGGGGAGGGAGAGAAGAAGAATAGGGTTTAAATAGAGATAGTGAGGCATGTAGGTCCACCTTAAACTTGTAGGAGGAGACCACGTGGTGGATTTGTGTGAAGTGCATAAAAATGACAGTGGGGGAAGGGGGTATGGAGTGGGCTTATGGTAAAATAAATCCTCTTATTTACTATGAAAGACCGTGCCTCAATAGATGTGTCAAAACAGTGCTCAAATTTAGATGAACTGGCATGATTTATATTTGATATAAAAGAAAATATGTGACATGATACATGTATAACTAAGTCGATATGAGGATGGTTGTTAAACAGAAGTGTCAAAATGTATTTGAGTGTCCAAATTTATATGATCTTGCATGACAACATTTGATACAAAAAGGAGAACATATAACACGTGACGTGACACATTTATCAGCTAGTACATATGAAATACCCTAATTTGGTTAGAGGTGTTAAAATGTATTTGACTGTTCAAGTTAATATGATGTAAAATCCCAACATGACATATGATGTAAAAAGAAAATATATATGATATGATATATGTATAATTGATCGATATGAAAATCATGAGATGAATTAAATCTATTATGCATTCAAGTTAGGATGGCACTTCATGACGTACAAAATATGGTCCAATTACGTACCTTTGTTCTGAAAAGCAAGAAAAAAGTTATGCTAAAAAATGTAAAAGTTTTCATGTTCTAGAATGCGTCGAACCTAAATAAATTTAATAAACACACTTACCAAAAGAAAAGAAATGTGAGAAGCAGTCTCGAAATCAAGTCGTGTCAATCTAACACGAAATAGTCACACTTCTAGGTGGGAAAGAGATTTGTAGAATTAGAAGTTTGGCGTATAAATAGATTTTCGATGTCTTTAGACTCACCATGAATAACTTCGAGAATCAAAGTTAGAGACGTCCGTAAAAATGAAATTGAATATAAATGCGAGTTGATGGTACAAAAAGTAAAATTTTAACTTCTGTTTCTTAATATATTTGATTTGAAATCCCAAGTTTTGTTTTAACCTATTTCATTTCCTCTATTCTTTTATCTTTTAAACAATGGGCAGAAACAAGCATATCATTCGATCACTTCACTTCTTTAGTGTATGTCACGCATGAATCATATATTATAACCTTGCGTGAATTGAATATCTTTTGAGAACCTCTTTGTATCTGTTAATTATTCATTGAAATTTCCTCATTCTCAGCAGATGACGAAATCAGGTTAAAATATATTATATTTATTAAAATAAACATTTTAAATCATTGAAATAAAAACAAGCACAAGGGGAGACCATCACCCTCCCACACGGCACCTGGCCTATTTCTACTCCCTTTTCACCTCAATATCTTGTCGATCCAACGCGGAGACATGGCACGTACTTTTCCGAACCTAATAATCAGTAATATTGCAGGATAAACTTGCCTTGGGAGAAGAATTTTTTGTCAATATCAATGACAATATGAATTTTCGTCACGTTAGTGTCGATATGAATTGTGTCAACATTTTTCTGTACTTATGACTTTTTTCAAAAAAATAATATATGGGTCCGACACATCCCGAGTCAATGCCGATGGTCCGTGTCGTGCAAAGTCAAGCCACCTCAAATTAGGGCTTCATGTTCTGAATTTAATTCTCGTTTAACATTTATTAAAATTATAAAAGGCCAAATCTATATAAAATAAATTTCCATATTGTAAACGTTGAAACATTTAATTGTAGTAGTTATGTAGTAGTTGAACGGTAGTTAAATGTAAAAAATGAATGGATATATGGAATTGCCTAGACTTTATAAATAATTTTTTCTGTTTCCAGTTTTTCCATGTCCACATATGAATTAGTTGAGATATTAAGGACCATGTCGGGATCCTCATGAACCAACATCAAAATCAAGATCCTACATCAATCAATCATCCTAGTGGTATCAATAAATACGAGTTAGCCTGACATTATTGAACAATTCCATTTGTACATAAATGTATGACAATGAAGGTTGACAACCTTTTACATGCGTGAGGGTTCCGGGTCGTTAAAAATTTTCAAAAAAGAAGTGGGCCCCCTACTGTGAGGGTTGGTCATCCTCAATTGTCATCATCCATTGTACATGTAGCATAGTTGAACATTATTTATTATAAATATTATGTTTGTACTGATGTTGCAATGTGCTATATGGCAACTTATTATACAGTTTGAGGCTTTGAGCAATATATATAGACCAAATGATACCCACATAGCCCCCCTCCCAAAAAAAATAAAAATATTCACATATTGGAAAATAGGAGAAAACTAGGAGGTGCCATGTTTGGTGTTCCCACTCGAACTGCACGTGAAAATGAAAATGATGGCAGCTGGGATAAGTTTTCGTTCGTTTCAATATTGACTATAACACTTCAATATGGAAAAAGATCTTAACAACATAAGTGAAACAAAGGGGTGGAAAGAGAGATGCACTTAGAGATCGTACTCGAGAAGATGTGAGTGAACATGGAGCTTAATAATTGTGCATTCAATCTAGATGTTGACCCAGAGTTCAACTAAGGTTGAAGTGGAATCTCTAACCTTATAGCATATTCAAATAGCTTTATTCCTTCCTCATGGGAATCATACATAGAAATGATATCGATGAGGGATATGATGGGGTACGGACCTTGTTACCCCTCAGTTCCAAGGTCCAGTGAAATGGAGCCACGTGGCACAACGCGTGGGCAAACAGTCAACAAGAAAGTCAAAAGAAGACCCAACAAGTCCAACACATCAGTAAAGAGGAACAGGCCGAGTCGCTCACACTTCTTCAAGGATGAAGTTGCTTAAAGCGGTTGAGGATCTCAGATCTCTCTGAAGCTCTCTCCAACTCATCCGAGGCTCACAAAATCGACGATGTTTCCTTGTAAAAGATCTGAGGATCTCTCTCAGAAGTGATTAATGTAACTTGTAATAAAGTTTGTCAGTATGTCGGCCTATTGTGTAGGGCGGCTGACCCATTATCAATGTATTAATTGCATGAGTAGACAGTGATGTGAAGCCTTAGTTAGGGAGATGAGACTACGTGGTTCTGAAGCAACGGTTATCACGTTAGCCAAGGTAGCATAAATAAGTCATCTTTGTAATTAGAAGGGAGAGGTTGGATTATTGATGGAAAAATGGACAATCATATATTCAAAATATACACTTGAACTACTGAAGAAAATATATGAACATTTGATCTATCATTCCACATATTCTTGTTGGTTATTACATAGATTAGTTTTGGTTTCCGTCCAGCAATCGTTGTTAGTGTGGTTGCCTTTGTTCCACCCGCCTGAGCTTGAACTTTTTTGTCTCTCGTCGCAAAGTACCTTTCGCATACATTTCCGCATTGCTACCGTCATCATTTCGGTAGGAACGAGCTGGAATCGTGTTTGACTTTGCAAGAGTTGGCCTGATATCTGTTGATTCATTTTTTGGGGTCAACAGACCTAGACTGATATATTATGAAGAGAAGCTATGGTAGTTATGTGGAGTCAACAAAGTACCTAACACATGACTTATGACTCGAAGTTTGTCGGAGCACACGATATGTAGCCCCTGCTTGATTTAAATAAAAAAAAAATCCGATTTTTAATAGATTTTGATAAGAATGGATGAAATGTGTAGTTGAAAAGTTATGGTTCCCATAAAATATTTGGTTAAAATAAATTGTTGACTTTGACTTAAATATTAATTTTTTTTTTTTATTTTTTTAGTTGAATGAAACATGGGTATAGTGTAGGCTAATTTAGCTCCAGTATATCATTAGACAATTTTTCAACTATTGGAGTTTGATTATATTCCCGTTCTAAGTTTGTAATTTTTATTTCTTTTCATCATAAAAAATAATTCCCCTCCATGACCGTTTTAATTAAATGATAACTATATCGTATTTAGAGAAATTAAATCCTTAATAACTACAACTAGTCTCGTTAGTTCGATCTAATACACATTTCCTAACATGTTTTGCCGTTGCAAATCATGTTAATCGCTTATGTCACGTCAAATAATTAACCGGGGGATGTATTTCTTGATGATCATTACTTATTCTAGCATGCCTAAAGTCAAGTAATTGTGGTATTTATTTCTTTTCACAATCATATCGTTAAGAAACAATATAGGGTATCAAAATTATGAAAGCGATGTCGTATTTTATTTCAATGCATACAATTCAATCCATTTATCTTGAAGTAGAGCTGTCTTTTCTGGGCTAAATTAACCTATCTTTGCGTCCATCAGTAACCAAAAAGTTGCCGACTTTACTTAAGCTGTCTTTGTCCTTCACATTAGGCTTTTGCTTTAGGCTCGTCTCGTACTTGTGCAATAACAACGAAAGTTTACGAATTATATTGTCTCAATCTACATGTCTGTTGCTCTCAGTGTACAGGCAGAGCTTTCTGCCATAAATTCCATCAATTATGTGCGATGACGGTGGCCATCAACTTGCACGACATGGTCACCAACTTCGTTGCTTTGTGGACTTTTTAGAGGACAAAACAACACCCTATGGTTTAAAATCCACTTGTAAAGACGGGACGCGATATTTCATTATAGAAAAATATGACCTGACATTGAGAAGCAATAATGCAGGAGTTTTCTGTAGGGTTTATGACTCCAAGAATATACAGAGTGATAGGCATGAACGATTAGGGTTCCATATTCAAACATATCCAATCAGCAAAGTGGGCAGTCCTTTGGTTTTAACAAGGTTCAAGACTCGACATAATGAAATAGAGAAACTAAATTCTAAGGGCNACACAGAGGAGGAAGTCGGCAGCTATTTAGGAGAAAACAGGGGCTGAAATTATTTATATATGCACGCACACAAACGAAAGGAGATGGCACACGCGAGAAGCTTCACGTTTCGTCAATTTTTT